TGAATCTGTGTTTATGGTATCCACGAAATGAGGATTTTAATCTTATTGCATATTCAGATTCTGATTTTGCAGGTGATTTATTAAATAGGAAAAGCACATCTGGAACGGCTCACTTCCTAGGTCCCTGCCTGGTTTCATGGAGCTCTAAAAAACAGAACTCAGTTGCTCTTTCAACAGCTGAAGCCGAATACGTAGCAGCCGCATCGTGTTGCTCACAATCCTTGTGGATCATGCAACAAGTAAGCGACTACGGGATCATCCTAAATTGCACACCAATTCTATGTGACAATACTAGCGCAATTAGCATCTCAAAGGATCCAGTCATGCACTCACGAACAAAACACATCCACATCCGGCATCACTTTCTGAGAGATTGCGTGGAAAAGGGGCTAATCAAGGTAGAATATTGCAACACTGACAAGCAAATTGCCGACATCTTTACAAAACCCTTGGGAAGAGAAAGGTTTGAATTAATTCGATTTGAACTTGGTCTCATCAATGCTTAAAACTATTTCATAAAATTTCTTTTTAAGGAAATCTTTATTTAAAACTGAAATCCTTCAGCTTTTAAACTGTCAGTTTTTTTTTGGGGGGACGTAACTACCACACAACCGGCCACTTCCTATTTGGAAGGAAATCATTAAAAAAAATTTTGGGAAGTGGGAAAGTATCCCGTATACCAACACGCCGCCCACTTCCTTATTACACACCTTCCATAACCGCCTCCCTCTTCTCCTTCTTAAAACCACCATGGTCAAAACCAGAGGCTACGCCCCTCCGACTGCTCCTCGTCGTTCTAACCGGAAAAAGGCGTAAAACCACCCCCACCTTCATCACCTACCCCGATTGAACTCGACGCCTCTCCTCCTTCGACCATGCACTCCGAATCTGGTGACTCCCTACCACGATTCCCGGCGTCCTCTCAGGGGGAACCAGATAAAAACTCTCCATCACAAATCAAACCTCTCAAACGAAAACCAACCACTCGCGACGGAAAGATACTGCCCCAAAAATACACCCGGAAAAGAGCAATCGCTGAGGGAATCATCTCCGACAAGGACTCCAACCAAAAATATCCAAGAATGGGGAGGGTAGCCGAGGAAGACGCCGCACGACTCAAGGAGGAATATCTCTCCCGGGGAATAGTTAAGGTACTTTCCATCTCCTATGGTGATATTACTCAAAAAACTTCTGATTTTACTGAGCTTATTTCGTTTCAAAAATGGGAGACCTTGTTTGATTCCAAGAATTGCCCCTCTGTGTTTCCTGAACTCATCTCTGAGTTTTTGGCTAATCTTATTATCAAAGACAGTTTCTTATCTTCTAAGGTACAAGGCACAAAAATTCTATTAAGTGTGAATGATCTAGGTCAAATATTGGGTGTTCCATGTACTGGTGTATGCCAATATAACAAAACAGAGTGGCCCCTAACCAACACCTCTCAAACAGTTGCATTGGAATACTTTAACCCAACCATTTCCGAGTCCTCTCTTCATGTTGCGAGCCTTGCCCCAATTCCCAAACTACTGTTTTACTTTGTTCATCACAACTTGACTCCTAGGCTAGAAGGGCGATTCACACCCTCTAGAATGGAACTAGCATATATGTACCTTTTAGCCAACAAAGTTCCTATCAACCTTCCTGGATTGATGATGGCCCATCTCAGTTCTATCATCAGTTCCTCATCCCGAAGGATTGGGATTCCATATGCCCCGCTACTTACCAAAATATTTCTCGCTAAGGGCATTACTCTGGACAAATTCTCCCCTGAAGAAGCTTACAAAATCCTGGATAAGAGATGTCTCAGCAATCTAGGCTTAATCATATCCAATTCTCACATTCTTCCTAAACCAACAGATCCCTCTTCTTCAGAGCAAAAACCCAGACCAAAACCAACTCCAGTTCCTTCCATCGACCCAGTGATGGTGGTACCCCCAATCACAGATCGCATAGATCTCCTGGAACGCTACCTTCAACACCAATTCGCTTCCATTTCAGACTCCATCTCTGCATTGGCAAAAAAGGTGGACACACTGGCTGATACAACCAATGCTATTCGGAATGATTTCCAGTCTTTCAAACAGGAAGTGGCAGAGCGGTTCTGTGAATCTGGCTCGACAAATCGCAGGATAATTTATTCCTCTGAGGATGATTAAACATTTCTTTTCTGGGGGAGGGTTCTTACTACATTAACATCTAAACAAGTTGTCCTACTTTGAAATTTTACTTTGCACTGTTTTGGTTATTTTCCGTTTCCTTTTGGTTGATGCCAAAAGGGGGAAATAATCAGGTGCCTGCTTATTTTGCTACGAACAAACACCGACTGGTACTAATCTGCAGGGACACCTTTATTATGGCACCTAATGTTTGTCATCAACAAAAAGGGGGAATTTGTTGAATATGTTGTTTTGTTGATGACTAACCATGTAGGTGGAATGGCGGACAGAACTACTCTCAGGTCCATTAGGAACGAGAATTGGAACTATACTTAGTTCTGATCTATATGAATGATTGTTGTGCATAATGAATAAATTAATATGTGCCTGCATGATAATACCTCATCTACATGCCTAGATTGATCATGCATATTCTTAATATACGTGGCACAAGTTAAATATCTTTCCGTATATGACTAAGCACTCACCTCTATGAGTTGGCCTATATAGCTTATGGAAAGAATCATTATTAATGCTACATAAAAATCCACTAAGTTAAGAATCCTGCACAAATCGACCGTAGCATATTTAGATCCACTAAGTAAACATTTCCTTATCACTTAATGCTACTAAGTCATTATATTATGGAAAGTATCTTGGGTTGCATGTTCTGTAGCACCTTATTTGAATACCTTACTTATATGATCGTTACATATTCTTGAGAACTAATCATTAATTATATAAATATGTTGATTGCTACATAATGTCCGTTGGATGCTTATATTAGGAGAACAAAATATTCTCCTTATATGTGATACGTAATATTCTCCATATCTGTTTTATTATTGAGTGATTTACTCATAATATACTTCCATATTTATATGGTTGACCGAGGATCACCATAATTGTGAGCCGGAAGATCTTTGAATAAAAGGAAAGACGAGGCTACGGATGCTATATATATTGGACAAAGGACCAGACGAAATGGGTGCTTGACCGAGCTTATATTGAGAAATATACACGAGGATATTCACTAAGTCCAAGGCACCTGAACCTGCTCACGAAGTTCCAGACAGAGTTTCTTTTTCCTTTTCTTCATACTGTAATTGGGTTTTTGAGGATTGGCTAAGTGTAGCATCCTCGGGTTGGTTAGTGTGTTGTGAGAGCTTTGTTGTAAAAGCTGAGAGGCTCTCTACCCGCAAGGTAGAGATGCATAACTCTTCCTAGAGAGGATAGAGTTGGGGTGGCTCAAGGGTAGACTAGGAGAGTTTCCCTTGTAATCATTCAAAGGCTTTTTAGTGGAGTTGTTCAAATTCCTCCGAGGGAGGTCGAGGTTTTTTAATCCCTTTGAGCCAAGGGATTTTTCCTCGTTAAATCCTTGTGCACTTTACTATCTCGTAATTCCCTGGACCCCACACTAGAAATGTGCGAAAAACTGTCACGGTTCCACACACACACAATTCACCCCCCCCCCCCCCTCTTGTGTTGCTAACCGTTTCATCAATTGGTAAGTTTGATTGTCATAAAGTAATAAATAAAAATTGTGTGATTTTGTCCATAAGAGAGAGAAATAATAGAAACTACAATTTAGTTGATTAAAGTGGAAAATGACAAAGTTTTTAGAACATAAAAAATCGTATTCCAAATGGAAAATGATTTATTTATTTTTTGATCGAAAATGAACATTTCTTTAATGGTGAAAATACCATCAACTTGTATAATCACCCTAATTTATAAATGGGTTAATTATCAAAATAGGACCAAAAGTCACTCACTTTGCACAAATAGGACCAAAAACTAAACAATGTTTTCATAGGATTAATTATGTGTGTCTTGGACAAATATACCCTTCTAGCTATTGAAATGTTTTAATTCATAATAAAATAATAAAAAATAATAAAAATTCGTAAAAAATACTAAAAAACTAATAAAAATATTTCGATAATAATAAATAATTAAGTTATTTTTTTTCCAAAAAATGAAAAAATTAAAAAAAAATTAAAAAAATAAAAAACTCAAAAAATAAAATAAAATTCACCGCCGCCTCTGCCGCCTCTGCACCACCACGTCCAGTCACCGGAAAAAAAATGTCAAGTTCATTACGAATGACATATTGATGGAAGAAAATAATGAAAATGTTGGCATTCTCAAAGAGAAATATGCCATGTTTTTGGCATTTTCAGGAATAAATGACAGTTTTTAGGGAAAATGACATTTTTTCACCGTCCGGAGATGGTGGTGCAGGGAGGTAGTACAGGCTGTGGGAAAGGCATCCATTTTTTTTTTAATTTTTTTTATGGAGTTTTACTATTTTTATAAAAATTTTCAAAAAATAAAAAATTTAAATAAAATATGTTTTTAATTTTTTATTTTATAAATATTTTATAAATTTTTTTATTATTTTTCTACGAATTTTTGATTTTTTCGAATTTATTATGAATTAAACATTTAATTAACTCATATTTAAAGGAAGGGTAAGAATGGAAGGAAAAAATACATATGTTTCCGATAGGACTAATTTGGTCCTATTTTAAAAAGAAAAATATAGTAAGTCCTATTTTGAGTTTTTGTCATAGTTTTAGTCCAACACTAAGAGCCCGTTTGGTAGCACGAAAATCGGCTGTTTTGGCTGATTCTGCTGAAATTTATGAAGTTCTGGCTGAAGTGGCTGCATTGGCTGATTCTGCTGATACAAGAAAAAAATATTTTTAAAATATATTTTATTAATAAAATAAAGAAAAAATTATATGTAAAAATAGCTAAAATGATCATCTATAGTAACTTCAGCCAATACAGCCAGAAAAGTAACTCCAACCTTACTTTTTCGGCTTATTACACAATTCAGCGCGCGAAAGCAAAACTTACGTGTTTGGTAAAAAAGTTGGCTGATAAGCTTGATAAGGCGAAAATGAGGTTTGCCAAACACCCTCTTAAATTCATCGTAGAAGGTCAACACTTGGATGTTCAATAGGCGAAACTCTCGTCCTGTCTCTTTCACAAGCTAAGCTAAGAGACAGTCGCCGAGGGCGGCAATCAAATTAAGCTCTAACAGCGCCAAGAATGACGATGGCTGGAAAATGCCATCAACTTAACCCATATAAGTGAATAATGATGATGGCTGGAAAGCTAGAAGACGCACGCAACATCCTACCACACACCCAACAATGGCTTCTGTTGCCCAAATCATCGGCACAGACGTAGAAACTTTTGCTCTGATCTTATTAACAGCGCCACTCCTTTTCGCCCTGTGGCGGCTGTTTAACGGAAACCCATTCAAGTCAATTAACCGGTTACCGCCGGGACCGTTCGGCTTTCCGGTGGTCGGATACCTGCCCTTCCTCCGCTCAGATCTTCACCACCAGTTCACAGATCTCGCCCGAAAGTACGGCCCCGTCTTCAAGCTCCAAGTAGGAAGCCAGCTGTGCATGGTGGTGAGCTCGCCGTCCGTGGTGAAAGAGATCCTTCGCGATCAAGATGCAATTTTCGCTAACCGCCACCCGACGGCGGCGGCACTCATAGCCACGTACGGCGGCCGTGACATCTCCTTTGCGCCCCTGGGCAATCACTGGCGAGAAGCCCGGAAGATTTTTGTCCGGGAGATGCTGAGCAGCAAGAACATCAGAGCCTGCCACGGTCACCGGCGAGAAGAGGTCAGAAAAGCGATCAGAACGCTCAAGTCAAAATCTGGTCAAGCTGTGAACATTGGGGAATTGGTTTCTTTGACTGAAATTAAATTAGTGACGAGAATGATTATGGGGAGTACCTTAGGATGTGATGAGGAAAAGCATGAGAAAGTTGTGGAAGTGTTTAGGGAGGTGATGGGGAGATTTGTTGCTGCACTTGGGGAACCTAATATCTCTGACTTTTTGCCATGGCTGGAAAGGTTTGACCTGCAGAGAATTCAGGCAAAGATGGGGGGTTTAGTTAAGGCTATCAGAGATATTCTTGAACCCATCATTGAAGAAGGGGAGAGAATTGTTTCTGAGAAGTCTCGTATAGGTTCGAGGAAGGATGAAGATGATGATGACGAGAAGGATTTTCTGCAAATTCTCTTAGAGCTAAAGGCCGGTGAAGCTGGCAAATCCTTGGACCTTGGTGCAATCAAGGCCCTGTTGCAGGTACCACCTAGTTATAACGTAACTGATATAGATGGCAGTATTAGTAATTAAAGAATGAAGAGGAACTATATATATACTCGATGTTTTTGTGCCTTAATGAACTTCACTTGTTAGTTTGAAATTCATTTCATATCTCCTGGCCTTTTGTTTTTAGGATATAGTAATAGGGGGGACGGACACAACAGCGACGACGGTGGAGTGGGTCATGGCAGTGCTTCTTGAAAATCCAGAAGTCATGAAACAGGTCCAGAATGAAGTAGACCATATCGTCGGACTGAACTCTACTGTGGAAGAGGTCCATTTACTGAAGCTCACCTATTTGGACGCTGTTGTGAAGGAGACTTTACGTCTATACCCTCCACTCCCACTGCTCGTCCCCAGGTGTTCAACTGCAACTTCACAGGTGGGCGGCTACACAATCCCAAAGGGTACTAAGGTCTTTCTGAATACATATGCATTACACAGAGACCCTCAGCTTTGGGACAATCCGCTGCAGTTCAAGCCTGAAAGGTTCCTCGGTCCGGGTTCGGGATTATTGGATTACACCGGGAATGATTATCGGTTTCTACCGTTTGGGTCGGGAAGGAGAATTTGTGCTGGGATTCCCCTGGCTGAGAAAATGTTGTTGTACATTTTGGCCTCACTGTTGCATTCCTTCAACTGGCGGCTTCCTGAAGGTGAAAAGCTGGACTTTTCAGATGAGTTCGGGATAGTCACCAAGAAGAAGACTCCATTAATTGTTGTCCCAACACCGAGGCTATCCAACTCTCAGCTTTATCATTAGCTTGGAGAATGTTGGTAAATCATACGTAATAAGAAACAAGTGCACTGAACTCTATGCAATGTGTTCAAATAAATGTCTTTTTGCATACACCGTTGTATTGGATACAAACGAATAATACAATTACAATAATATATGTTTAACTTGAAGTAATAAGATGAATCTTTGAAATATATTATGTATAATGAATGCTTAGAGCAATGTTTGAGCCATAGTTTTTTACTGAGACACATCAAGGAGGTGCTTTGCAAGATATCTTAAAAATAAAGATATTTTTAATAGTCCCTTTTTAAAATTGAAGTACTTGTAAAACAGAACTTACAAAGTCAGGCAGGGAGGAGCTGATGTGTAGAAATATGCATAAGCTAAAAAATATATTTCGTACTCCGTATATGTTAACATATTAATTCCGCCCTCCCCCGCTAAATGGTTCCCTTAGGCCTTGTTTGGTTCAAAAGAGGGAAGTGAAGGGGAGAGTCAAGGAGGGAAGGGAAGAGAAGATGAAGGAAGGATTTTGGTAAAAAATTGTGTTTGGTTGTGGTTTTAAATGATCACAATTTCACTATTTATTTTTCAAACTGCAGCACAAAATAAAAGTTATTCATTTATTTTTAGAACGAATTAAGTCAAACTCAGTTCATTATAAATTATGAGAAGAGAAGATCTCTTTAGTCTTCGAGAGAAAATCATATGTCATTCCTTTATACATGGCATTAGCAAAACCAAAATAGAATTTGTAGTCTTATTTGTCTTGATTCACTTTTAGTTGTGTAAAAAGTTATCAATTTTCTCTTAGATCTTCATATTTAGCAAATTAATCTTTAAACTAACTTGCAGCTTATGTTTCGTAATAATATTTCAATTATTTAGAGGAGGCTTATTGCTTATGGTATTTAAGTAAATTTGTCAAGTTAATAGATTTGAGAAACTTTAATTTATTTTAAGTATTCTCAAATGTAGAGAACATACTTGTTGCTATTGTATTTTTATTTCATTCTTAATTTTACTGATGTAGTTGCTTTAAACATAAATTTATGGTGTTTCCTTATATCATAGACACTTCTTTTTATATCCTTTGCAGTTTGAGGAGCAGCGGTTCCATTTCTTGATATTTGATTAGAGATGGCTCGTACAAAGCTAGTAAGGCAACTAAGGTAATACTACATCCATCCCATAAAATAAGTCTCACTTCAATTTGGATCGGAGTTTAAGAAAGTGGGAATAAAGTGAAAATGTACGTTTGTGGTTGAGTAAAAAAAAGGTAAATGAATGTTAGTCACACAAAACTTTCCAAAAAAAGAAAATGAGAACAATTTTTTAGGACGGTCCAAAAAGGAAAGTAGGATTTATTTTATGGGAGGGAGAGAGTAACTGCATGTTACTTCTGGTTTTTGTAACAAAGCAGAAGAGGCAGAACTCGATCTGATGATCAAGATAGTATGTGTTGGTAAGAATTATTTTTGTTATGGGGCTATGCTGGTATCATTTGTATTGTAATGTCACTATGTATTTATTATAGGGAAAAGTACCGAAAAAGTACTTGTGGTTGAGCCCGTTTTCAGATAGGGTCATGTGTTTCATTCTTTATCAAAGTGGTTAATGTGTTTGAATTCCGTTATCACAAGAGGGTCACGCCGTCAAAAACGTCTGAAAAAGACCGTTAAAAGTAACTCCGATTTTCAAAAGTGTCCGAAAAACTAAAAGAAAAATATCAGAAGGTGCGCCGCAATAAGACGACCGCTAGGCCATCTTTCTTTTTTTGTTTTCAGCCACCCTTGTCACCAGAAAGTCCATCAGAAAAGTGATATTAGCGAAATCATTTTAAAAAAATAATTCAAACAGGTCTGAAAAATCCAAATGCGAAGGTGGTTTGGAGGTCATCTTGACGAGGCGCACCTTTCGGTATTTTTCTTTTAATTTTTCAGACACTTTTGAAAATCGAAGTTACTTTTAACGGTCTTTTAAAGACATTTTTAACGGTGTGACCCTCTAGTGATAACGGAATTCAAACACATGAACTACTTTGATAAAGAATGAAACACATGACTCTATCTGAAAACGGGTTCAACCACAAATACATTTTTCGTACTTTTCCCTTTATTATAAGAACTACAGAGTAAATCTTTTTTTAATCCCTCACTGTGCATTTTTGGTCCCTTAGACCTTTTGGAGTGGTGTGAGAGTCTAAATTTCAAAAATGGACTCCGTCCATATGAAAACATCATTTTGACTTCTATTTCTCTGCATTCCAGCACCGTCAATAAAATACACTCTGCATATTTTTTACATATCAATTTAGTAAAACATTAATTAAATTATTATAAGTAATGTTTTCCTTTTAATTTTTTCTCTGATTAATTATAAAATAAAAAAGACACATTTCGATATGAAAATAAATAAATTTCATTAATTTTTTTAACGTTTTTCGGTTAACAAAAAATGAATTTAATTCAAGTAAAGTTTGATTATTGAGTATTCGTTTATTTTTGAAGGCTCCAACAATTAAAAATTTGTGTTTCGTGTTTTTTTGGGCTCAAGAAAACTTCAACAGTTAAAACTTCAGTTTTTTTCCATTTTATATATTACATATTGGTGTCATATGAAAGATCATAAAAATTTATGAATTTTGATATATTTTTTGAAAAATTTGAAGAAAAAATAAAAAAGTTATATAAGTTTGAAAAAAATGAGATACTATGATGCAAGGATGACATCCCTTTTACTCCTCCATTTAGCCAACCACAACAAGGATTTAGGAGTCCAAAAATTCTACTTTTAACATTTTGGACTCCTAATCCTACACCACTCCAAGTAATCTTATTGCTAGCTTTTGTAAAAAAAAAATCTAATTTGTATAGTTCAATCACATCCAACTAACATTACCACATATTAATGTAATTAAGAAGCATTTTGGACCACAGTAACATAGTCATGTTGATTTTGCAGGTAGATTGAGTCACAAATACATAAAGGGATGATCTTCCGAGAATAAAACTTGATGTCAAGTGGTATGCAGCTGAAGAGAAAATCAATGAAGAGAAAAAAACTTGATGTCAAGTGATGCTTCACGGTGAATACAAAGATCAAGTGTGAGAATCTAGACATATGTTTCAACATGATATACTGGCCTATACTTTTGTAGATATATTTTGTAGCTTAGACATTTGTATGATGTATAACAGTTTGATTATAAGTTTGATCATTTGTGACAGTTTATAACATGTATGCATAAAAATGACGATTAGTTTCATCATCAACTATAATCTAATATTGACAATTCTATTTTTGTCATTATTTACGTTTTAGATGACACTTTAGATTGTCGGCATAAATACTTTATATGTGACAAAAAAATTGTAATTAAAATAGTTATAATTGATTACAAATTTTCTTTTACAATGACAAATAATGTGACTCTACTATGACAATTTTATTGTCACTATATTTAATTTATTGGGAAAACTGTCAATTACACCCTCGTACTATGGGCGAACCCTCAATTGAATCCTCCTACTTTGATAACCTTCAATTGAATCCGCCAAGTCTCCAAAATCAATCAATTAGGTCTACATTACCGGTTGGTTCCCGGTTTGCCCGTTGCTTGCCTTCCTGGCGCTGACGTGGACTTTGCCCGGTAATCCCTTCAGGGACTCTTGATGACCCCTGACCCGCCAGTTCTCCAGCCACCGCCCCACAACTTCCCAAACCATTTTCCCGCCACCGCAGCCCACCGCTCCCACAACCCCCTCAGCCACCTCCACGACCCCTTCTCCCCCCGCCCTAATCCCTTCCCTCAACACGGTCCTAGTCCCTTGCCCCCCCCAACCCCTCTTCCACCCCCCCACCCTTGCACCCGGGCAGCCCAATCCTGAAACCTTAGCCGCCTTCAGAACACCATGGTTGCTATCGCCAAACCCTAACCCCGCCGTGACACATTCTCCTTCGACGGGCTATGCGTGATTTTCCGTCGAAGGGCAATAACAATATGTCGCCGAAACCTAACTCCGTAACAATCCGTAGCCGATTGTTCATTATTTGACCAATACTCGCTTCAGCCTGACATTTCGTTTAGAAATTGACGATTTCGCATTCTGTGAACCGCGAAGCGTCATGTAGAAGAAGAGGAGGAGATAATGAGGGACAAACCTGCGATGGGTTCAGGCGGCGTCAGGGGAGACAACGAGAGATGGCGGAGGGGAGAAAATGGCGACAGAGTTCGTCGATGGAGTGCCGATGAACTGACGGGTCAGGGGTCAGTGGAAGTAAAATGATTTAAGTGAGTCAGCACTGAAAGACCGATTGGCAAAGTCCACGTCAGCGCCAGGAAGGCAAGCAACGGGCAAACCGGGAACCAACCGGTGATGTAGACCTAATTGATTGATTTTGGAGACTTGGCGGATTCAATTGAAGGTTATCAAATTAGGAGGACTCAATTGAGGGTTCGCCCATAGTACGAGGGTGTAATTGACAGTTTTCCCTAATTTATTTTCAGAGCTCAATGTTAACCGTCATTATATAATACTCCATCTGTTAACCGTCATTATATAATACTTCATCCGTCCCCCTATAATTGTCCCATTTTTCTATTTGTGGATATCCCCCTATTATTGTCTCATACCATATTTGGTAACATTTGTGTGGTTGTAATTCATTCTTACTTTATTCTCACTTTATCAACTCATTATCAACCACATATGAGTATATGACCATATGTTAGAACATATTTTATTGTGTTCAATTTAATTAGATTTATCTTTGTCTATTATATTTAATTAGTGGGCTATTAAATTAAGGGAAAAATAAATAAAATATCCCAAACTTTGAAGGGGTGTGAGATGAACACCCCAAACTTGCATATGTGATTCAAATACCTCAAACTTTATATAAAAAGTTATTTTAGCACCATAGTCAAGTATTATTTCTTTTTAAATTGTAAGTTTATGGTGTTAATTGCATAAACTTACAATTATAATTGCACCATGGTGTTAATTTAATATATTTTAGAATTCATGAAAACACAATTAACATTCTAAATTTCCATTGCGAAATAAATAATGTAATCCCAAACCTATATAATTGCAACACTTTTAATTTGCTATTTTAAATTATGCAATTAACCCAAAAAAATACATTTTTGAATGAAATAATACATGATAATGGTGCGAAAATAACTTTTTATATAAAGTTTGGGGTATTTAAATTACATATACAAGTTTGGGGTATTTATCTCACATCCCTTCAAAGTTTGGGGTATTTTTATTATTTTTCCCTTAAATTAATTAGGGGTCATTTAATTAGATTAATCCGGCCCATCATATTGTAACTAGGATGTTCGGTCATACTCCTATAAATATAGGATATATAGACCGAACAGCCTAAGAGCTTCACAATTAGAATAGCCATATCATTATTAAGAAGCTCCCACGTTAGAATAGATCAGAGAGAAAAGTCTCTACACAATCTGTTCCGCATATTATTCTCGTAGAGCACCTAGAATAGAAAATTCTCTCTCATCAGTTCATACGTGTATTGTTCATTATTGCTTCATTTTTATGAATACACGGTATTGAATGTTGAATTTCTCTTCTACTGTTTAAATTCTTTCTATTATTATTAGATTTATTCGACTGTTGATCTGGGAATTGTTCACACAATTGGTATCAGAGCTTCGACGTAATTCTGTTTGCTTGAATCTAGGAATTTTCCTGGAATTAATTTGATCAAAATCACAAGTTTTGGTTGAATTAGTTTTGGACTTGTTCTTGGAAAGTTTCTGTTTTGGAAAGGCTGCTGCAGTAAAGAAAGAAGAACACGAATCTGAATCCTAAGTGTTCAAAGTTAAGTATTTCGTGCTACCGAAATCCTTAATTCCGGCCATACTCAAAAGAAGATTTCGCGCAGCTGAAACCGGGCACCCGAAGTCTATTTTGCATCACTACCGAATTTTCCAATTTCAAAGGCCCGAGATCCAGACTTCGAAGGACTACTGAGATTTAGCGGCCTAGAGTTCAAAGGAAGCTCGAGTTTTGCTATACGCTAGCTCGAGAATTCAAAATTGTCTTTTGAGACCAGCTAAATTTTCCGAGTATCGTGTCCGCAGGTCCCCCGCGTCAGGGGGTGCGAATTCTCGATTTTGAACAAGAAGCCGAAATCTCATGTGCCCTAGAGCTCCCCTCTTCTCATCCTCACTTTGCTAATAAGGAAGGAGTGTTCCATATTTATAGGTTCAAATGTTCCCAAGGAGTTTAGGTGTGGGATATGTTATCAAGCTTACTTTTTCCTACACTTGGAGAAATGGATAAAGAAGATAGGAAATATAAAGAGAATCAAAAGATACAACAGCATCCAAAAGATAAGATTAAGAAAATAAAATTTTAATACGAGAAGATTTTGTGGTCGGCTGAAGATAGTGAGTCACATACACATCTCTTGGTCTAATAAATCCAAAAGGTGTGTGTGTGTGAATTCTTTCTTGGAATATAACTAAAACTATATGTTAAAAATGAGACTGACATGACTAAGAACATACTTTTAGAGGGTGTTTGGAAGAGTAAAAATGGGCTGATCAGACTGAAAATTCATAAAAATAGCCAAACACCACTTCATTTGGTTGTTTTGGCTGATTTCTATTATCGGCCAAAAAAGTAGCTTGGGGTCACTTTTTGAGCTGATTTTTATTTTTAGTACTGTTAAATGTTAAGAGACGGAGGTATCCTTATCTACTTGGCGAAATGTCTTCCTCGGCTCCAAGTCTCCAACTAACTTTTGCAATTTCTTCATCTATTCTTCATTTTAGCAATTTCTTCTCCCTACCCTCCAACTAATTTGGTAAGCTAGCAGAGCATATCTCTTTCGTCGTTTGTGAAATTCAAGCTATACATTTGATTAGCTAAACCTTTCTTGTATTAGGATCTTGTTTGTACCTTTGATTTTGAACATAAAATGGGTAAGGAAAAGAATTTTTTGTTGTGGCTTTCTGGGTATGAAAAGATTTTTTGTGCTTTATTTCCCACCAGAGTGATTTTGCGTTTATGATTTTTACTCTCGCTCTTCCTTTGATATGTGTTGTTGGTAATCTATAGTATTGTTGTACCAAAAAAGAATACCCTTTATAGTAATTACACATTCAACCAGCCAATTCAGCCAATATTTTACCAAACACTTTTACTTCAGAATTTCACTCTTTTCAGTCTTTTCAGCCATTGCAGCCATTACCAAACAGGGCCTTATAGTCACTAAGATGTAATATTTGAATATTATTATAATTATTAAAAGTCACCAAGTCTTATTTTAGTCCATTATCCATGCTAGAAATTTCACATGTGTATTGCACGGGATGTAATATCTTAAATTTAAATTCTAAATGGTCTAAATTTAATTTAAACCAACAGCTATACAATATAATTAAGAGAGTTATGCTCATTAATTAAATATATTCTATAATGTACTTTGAGGGTGCTGTGGTATCATGATATATTGATATCCTTTGAGAGTTATAACTCCGCCATGATATCATTTTTTTGGTATCATGCATGTCCCAAGCAAGGATAAAGGAGGAGGGTGCTGTGGTAGGCGTGTGACAGTCAACAGTATCACCTAGTCACATCACATGACATGAATCGAAATATGAATATCGCTAATGCTAGGTCGTCACCCGTAAGTGACGCGTCATCCCTCTGCCTGGGGGTGGTGTCAAATATGCAAGGACGCGCTACACTTCATAGACCTGGGTGTGGTGATAAGAATGCTAAGGTTGCTAGGTCGCCTCCCGGAAGTGGCGCGTCATCCCATTGCCCGGGGATGATGTCAAATATGCAAGAGCATGGTGGGGTCCGAGATGAGGCTAAGAACAGAAGGTGGAGTGGTAGATTGCGTTTTGGGACATGAAATGTTGGGTCTCTTACATGCAGATCTTCCGAGGTAGTCGAGGTTATGAGGAGAAGGAATATCAACATTATGTGTGTGCAAGAAACTAAATGGGTTGGAGAGAAAGCACGCGAGATTAATCTCGGAGGTTTTAAGTTGTGGTATTCGGGGAGAGATAAGACCAGAAATGTGGTAGGCATTATTATGGCGTGTGACTATGTTGAGGATGTAGGTGGTAGAAGTCTTCAGGAAGAACGATCGCATCATGAGCATTAAATTGGTGATAAGGGGTGAGATTGTGTCTGTGGTAAGTGCCTATGCACCACAAGTGGGATTGGATGCATCTACAATTCAACAGTTATGGGAAGATCTTGAAGACGTGGTGCGGCAAGTGCCAAGGGGAGAGAAGTTGATCATAAGAGGTGACC